CGGCCCCAGCTCTCTATGGCCTCAGCTCTCTCCACGGCCCCAGCTCTCTATGGCCTCAGCTCTCTCCAGGGCCTCAGCTCCATATGGGCCTTTAGCCCCACCCACCCCTCACAAAGACACAACCAGCAGAAAAGATAGCCTCCCAGGTCAGGCCCATTCTGGGGTAGGGCAAGTCTGAGCTGGCTGCCCTTCACCTCTGCTCCTCCCAGAAGTCACATATCCTCTGTCAGCAACTTAGAGGCCCCACATTTGACACTCACTTCCACCTGGCCCTCCCAGGTCCCCTAAGGAAGCAGGAGCAGAAACTGCTGTTCCCACCTACAGATGAGAGAGGGCTCTGGGGCCCAGGGAGTTAGGAGCAGAGCTTAGTCAGCCCCTGGCTGTTGCTCATCCAGTAAATACGAGCGAGCACCTGGAGTCCACTAGACTTCGTGACTCCAAGTCCCAACCCTTCCCTCCAGGGCCTTGGCTCCAGTCTCTGGAACTCTCCCACCTGACCAGAACCACGGGAGGCCAGTGGCCTCCAGCCCAGGTCACTGGTAGCCATTTACATCCAGAAGCAGGGCCGGCTTCCATACGTGGTAGCCATGATTATGAATAACAAGGAAAAAAGAACACTCAATATTATTATTATTTTTTAAATCTGATATAAGCACTATAATTTCCTTATTAACACCTCTGAAGAGAACTAATTGTAGTGACCATTTTAAGAACCTAAGAGATAGTCAGGCTTGTACATAGCTCTGTGCCTGTGGAAACCCTGGTGGCGCAGCAGTTAAGGGCTCGGCTGCTAACCAAAAGGTCGGCAGTTGGAATCCACCAGCCACTCCTTGGAAACTCTATGGGGGTAGTTCTGCCCTGCCCTATAGGGTCGCTGTGAGTCAGAATTGATGGCAACAGGTTTGGGTTTTTTTGGTATGAATATGGAGCCCTGGTGGTGCAGTGGTTAAAGCGCTCAGCTGCTAACCAGAAGGTTGGTGGTTGAAACCTACCAGCCGCTCGACTGGAGAAAGCTGTGGCCGTCTGCTTCCATGAGATGACAGCCTTGGAGCCCTAGAGGGTTGCTAGGAGTTGGGATCGATGTGAGAGCAGGTGGTGTGGTTTTTTTATGCACGTGGGAGCAGGGAGTCCTGGGTGGTGCAAACAGTTAACACACTCAGCTGCTCACGGAAAGGTTGCGGGTTCGAGTCCACCCAGAGGCGCCTCAGAAGAAAGGCCTAGCAGTCTCCTTCCAAAGGCCAGCCATTGGGAACTGCTTGGAGCAGGTTTCCTCTGACACACGTGGGGTCACCATGAGTCAGAGTCGACTCAGTGGCAACGGGTTTGGTTTCTTGGTTTGGTGCATGTGGCGGGGGCGAGCTGGGAGAGGAGGTTTCTGCCCAGGGAAAGCTGGCTCCCAGGAGGGAGGGAACAAGGCTGGCACTGCCTTCCTCATCCTCATGGAGTAGCTTTCTTAAAGAGAAGATACAATTCCTCAATTAGTCTAAACAAAAAAAATCTGTTTGTTTCAATGTTCCTCTCTGAACCCCCCTTTTAGACTGTGAAGTCAGGAAGATAGCCCTCTGGCCCCGGGAGCCTGGCCGAGGCCGTGTTCTATGGAAAAGGATCTAGCTGGCCAGGGGCAGCACCCACATGCGGGCTGGGAGCCCAGGCTGGACGCGTCCTCACTGCATTCCAGGCCCCAGGTCAACAGAGCCGCTTTCCCCCTCGGCAGCCGCACAGCCTGGCGCTACCGGGCAGGCCAGGTGGCGGGGGCACAGGTCTGTCCACGGGCAGCACTCGGATGCCGGGGGTGCCAGGAGGCAAGCTGGGCGGGCAGCACTCAGATGCCGGGGGTGCCAGGAGGCAAGCTGGGCGGGCAGCACTCGGATGCCGGGGGTGCCAGGAGGCAAGCTGGGCGGGCAGCACTCGGATGCCGGGGATGCCAGGAGGCAAGCTGGGCGGGCAGCACTCGGATGCTGGGGGTGCCAGGAGGCAAGCTGGGCCAAGGCTCTTTCAGGGACTTTCTACTTCTGAAGCTGCGAGCTTCCAGAGACCAGATGCCCACACCGTCTGTTGCTCTGTTTCTCCTGGGGAAGCAGGTCCTCCCCTGGGCACTGCCCTTCTGTCCCCAGATTACCTCTCGGGCCTGAGCTGAGCCACGGCTCCAGTGGCTGCGGGGGCCCCAGACCCTCGGCTAGAACAATCCCTGTAGCTGCCGGAAGCCCCAGGGAGGAGCCCCTGGAGGCGGGGGCTGGTGCTGGAGTCCAGGTCAGAGGTCAGAGAGGGCTGCAGGGGCATGGAGAAGGGAGAGCAAAGGTGCAGCCAGCAGGGCCTGGTGACTCTCCAGGAGAGGAGATGGCCAGACACAGGACTGACTCGCCCATGCGGGCCCTGGTGGCGCAGTGGTTAAGAGCTCGGTTGCTAACCAAAAGCTCGGCAGCTGGAAACTGCCAGTCACTCCTTGGAAACTGTGGGGCAGTTCTACTCTGTACTGTAGGGTCGCTGTGAGTCGGAATCGATGGCAGTGGGTTTTTTGGTTTTTAACAGCATCCACCATGTACCTCCCCTTTTGATGTTCCAGCTACCATCCATCTCATGTGCAGTCCCTCACTGCGGGGCAGGGCCTCCTGGGACAACATGGAGAGCCCCAGACTGGGCATCAGGGGGCCTGCATTCAGCCCAGAGCGGCTTCAGACAAATTCCCTAACTACTCTGAGCCTCGGTTTCCTCTGCTGAGAAATGGGGCTATAACCCCCCCGCCTCGCGTGCACGCTGTTGTCAGCCCAGGTGACGGGCACTCGGAAGACTGGGGTCAAGTATCATGGACTTCAGTGCTCACCCTTTAGCTGACCCCCAAGGAAGGAAGGAGGGAGTCTGGCGTGTTCTCCAAAAGGGGGCGGAGCTTGGCCAAAGGTGCTGAGCAGCCTGGAGAGCAGAATGCATGATAGGAGCCCGATACGGGGAGGAACCCAGGCTGGCTGTGGGCAGGGCTTGCTGTGCCACCTGGCTAGGCGGGTGAGGCAGGCTGGTTTCATGTGCGACCAGAGCCCGGGCAAGGCAGGACCTGCTGAGTGGGGAGGTTGAGGCCCAGGGGCAGAAGTGGCCACGCGTCCACTGTGATGTCTTTGGGTTCTCTGGGTCTGTTACTTCTCTGAGTTTCTTTCAACAGTTTGCTCAGATGATGAGCATCTTGTGAGAAGGCAGGCAGGTTGGGATTGCTCGTACCAGGGGCCCCGGGGCCAGCGGCATCATGCTGGGGAGCCAGGCTGAGCAGCGATCCTGTGTCTCTCCTAGGGGTGGGGTGTGAGGTCCACACAGCCAAGGTCCTACTATTCTAGCTTTACAGTGAGGATGTGTCAGAGGCCCTGTGACCCACCACATTTACACACCATGCAGTAAGCAACACCGCAAGTTCCCACTCGTGTCTGTGGGTCCTTTTTCACCACAGCCAAGCAGTGCAAAAGCTAAGTGATAGAGAGAGGCTGCAGCTTAGGGGGGACAAGCTGCTGTTGTTAGGCTGTCGAGTCAGTTCTGACTCACAGTGACCCTATATACAACAGAACAAGACACTGTGCAGTCCTGCGCCATCCTCACGGTCGTTATGCTTGAGCCCATTGTTGCCGCCACTGTGTTAGTCCATCTCATTGAGCGTCTTCCTCGTTTTTGCTGACTGTCTGCTTTACCAAGCATGATGTCCTTCTCCAGGGACTGATCCCTCCTGATAACATGTCCAGAGTACATGATTTGAAGTCTCGCCATCCTCGCTTTTAACGAGCATTTCTGGCTGTACTTCTTCCAAGACAGATTTGTTCTTCTGGCAGTCCATGGTATATTTAGTATTTTTTGCCAACAGCATAATTCAAAGGCATCAGTTCTTCTTTGATCTTCTTATACATTGTCCAGCTTTTGCAGGCATATGAGGCGACTGAAAACACCTTGGCTTGGGTCAGGCGCACCTTAGTCCTCTAGGTGACATCTTTGCTTTTTAACATTTTAAAGAGGTTTTTCGCAGCAGATTTGCCCAGTGCAATACATTGTTTGATTTCTTGACTGCTGCTTCCATGGGCGTTGATTTTGGATCCAAGTAAAATGAAATCCTTGACAACGTCAGTATTTTCTCTGACAACGTGTAAAGGGTACAGATTTGGGCTCTGAGGCTGGTAGACTTGGGGTCCACTCCTGCCCTGCCGTGAGGAGCTGTGTGACCTTGCACTAATCGCTCCAGTTCTCACCTCTGGGATGGGGAGAGTGATGATGGAACCAACCCCACAGGGTTCTTGAGGCCTCAGTGGGATGCCCATTGACAGTCCTGACCCTGGGGCCTCCACCATAGACAGTTCTAATGATTAGAAAGTGCTTCCTTCCCCGAGCTGGAGTTATCTCCCTGTGAGCTCCACCCCTTGTCCTGGTCCTGGCGCCTAGAACACCCTGCTCCTTCCTCCACCTCCCAGCGCTGAGGTGGGCTGCAGACACCTGGGCACCTGGCCACCAGGAGGCATCTTTTCCAAACTGCGCCCTTGGCCCCTTCAGCTGGTGCAGGGTCAGACCACCCACATTCCTGCTCCTGCTTTCGCAGCTGGGGTTGACCAGGTGATGAGTGAACACAAGACCCACCCTGCAGCACTCCCCACAGGTTTCTTTAAAAGGTGCAGGCCTACCCAGGAGCCTTCTGGGGAGATGGCATGTTCCTGGTGTCTAATATTGGTGCTGTTACTTGGGTGTGTACATCTGTCAACAGTCATCCACCCCTACGCTTACAATGGATGGATTTTATTGTCTGGAAATTAGACCTCAACATGGTCGGTTTTTAAACCTAATGCAATTGGGGGAGGGGTTCAGACCTTTTGGCGCTGTAATTCCACATCCCAAAGAAATGACGACCTGACCAAAGATTTAGCTACAGGGATGTTCATCACTGAAGTTACGTGTTTTCTTTTGAAATTTGTGGGTTTTTTTTTTTTTAAATAGACGATACATGTACTTTTTTTTTTTTTTTTTAAAGCAAACAGTTCAACAGTCTCCTTTCCATCCCTGGCAGATCCACGCCCCCTTCTGCCCCTCAGAGGTGGACATTTTCTAACACATCCATTCAGAATTGTGTTTCTTTGAGCATGTCCATGTATGTCAATTTCCCCTTCTAGAACACAGTCACGGTGTATTAGACCTGCCGTCCATAACGCTGGGACATACATTGAAGCTCCGTCAGAGGGCTTCATCGTATGCCGTGTGTACTGTGTACCATGATGAACTATTCCCCGCGTCAGCAGGACACTGCATTGTGTCCATCTCCTGCCCTACAAAGGTGCTGTGTACCCTGAACCCCTGACTCTCCACCCCATGCTCAAGGATGCTGCAGGGAACATTCCCAGAAGTCAAACAGCTGGGTCAGAGGAACGGTAGTGTTTTAATAGCCTCCAGTGAAAACATCTATTCCGTAAGAAAACCCAAAACCCGTTGCTATCGAATGGAATCCTGACTCACAGCGACCCTATAGGACTGCCCCATGGGGTTTCCTAGGCTGTAGTCTTTGTGGAAGCAGACTATCACATCTTTCTCCCGCAGAGCAGCTGGTGGGTTCAAACTTGCGACCTTTCAGTTAGCAGCCAAGCCCTTAACCACTGTGCCACCAGGGCTCCCTATATTCCATACGGGAGTAGATAAACTGTCTATATCCATGAGATAAATGACTACACATCTATTAAATTTCCTGTTGTAGAACATTTGGTAACAGGGACAGACATCCCCAATAGGTGAAAAAATATGTGCAGTAAGAATCATGGAAGAACATGTAAGTGGATATGCACTCAAATCCATGTTAAGGATTAGAAAGAAATGCCAGTGTGCGTTGGGATTAAGGGGATATTTATTTGTAATTTCTGTAATTTTCAATTTTGCTACGGGGAATATGTTACTTTTGTAGTAACAGAAAGGTGCAGAGCTGAGGGGTGGGAGGAGCCACGCGGGGAGCACTCCCTCAGGATCCTGTGCTTGGTCCTCACCACCAACACCCCCCAGAGCGGACTGACCAGCGAGAGCTCGGCAGCTGGCCTGCGCCCACGCGTTCCACCCGGTGGAAGTTAACTGGAAGCAGATTGCAACTCAGTGGATCCCTAGCCTTTCTCACCGGGCTGCCGGCAGGGGAGCGGGCTGCCGAGGGGAGGTAGTGAGCTTCCCATCGGTGGGAGTGCGCATTCACTGAGTCTGGGCCGGGAGCAGCCAAGGCGAAGGCTGCAGTGCCCGGGGACCAAAGGAAATAACCTCCGAGGCCGCCTGCAGCCTCCTCTCTCCCCGCACCCCCACCGCCCTCTCGGCTCCGTGCCTCACTTTCCCCCGACCAGTGGGGCTGGACGAGATACTTTCCCCTGCCCCCGCCCAATACCTGTACGAGGTGGTCACCGCTGCAGCCGCGTCCGCGTCGCCGATGGGAAGCACGTAGACGGCCCGTGCGCAGTGCGCGGGGGGCTTGTCCCTGCGGCCGCTGGCCCCTGTCCTGCGTCCCTGCGGCGCGTCCCTGGGCCCCGTGGGCGCCGTCCGCACGCCAAAGTCCCGCTGGTACTGCGTGAGCGGCACGTCCCGGCCGGGTTCCCGGGCGCCCGGGCCCCTGCGCGAGGCGGCGCCGGCCAGACCCGGCTCTTCACCCTCGAGGTCCGAGTAGCCGTGCAGGGTCAGGGGCACCGCCACGTCGGAGCGGTCGAGCTGGTTCCAGCGCCGCGCCAGGCAGCACAGGCGGCTGATGCAGGGCCATGCCATGCCGCCCGGCGCGCCGCTTGCTCCCCGCGCCCTCCTCGGCGCCCACAGTGAGCGCGCCGGCTCCCCGCCCCGCGCTTCCCCTCCTCCGCGCTCCTGCCCAAGCCTGCCCACCCCAACTCCGCGTACTTCGCCTCCCACGTGCCACCCCCGCTCCCGCCCCGCCGCAGCACTGCCCGCCGCGCCTGGGGATGGCAAGCCAGCGAGCACGTCTGGGGAGGGTAGGGGGGCACTGTTGCGGGGAGGCACCTGAAACCTCCCGGAGTCATTCACAAGCGTCTTAATTGAAACATGTCTCATAATTTAATCCAAAGTTTCCAAAATGTTATTTTACAAATCGGATCTGGTTTCGCAAAGACCGAGGGCCGGCTGGCGGCACTTCCTTCCTCGCTGATGCCCCTCGGCGGCTCCGGGGCGCAATCTGTCTCCCTTTTGTCTCCCGGACAGGCCCGCGGCTGCCGCATTGAGGGTAAGCAGAACCGTTGACTCACACGCAGAGGGAGGTGGAATAACGAGGAGGTCACGGGAAGGCTTGGGGTCATGCTTCCCAGAGAACGTGTTTGAATCCGCCCTTGAGGCACTGCCTGTGTGCTTTTACAGTGCTGGTCTAAGGCTGTGACAGCCAGTCCAGTTTCATGGAGAACTGGCATTAGCCCTCCAGTGACCTTTGCCTGGGTTCTAAAATCCCTCATTTTAAAGCATCTTGCAAAGGCTTTAGATTTCTAAAGCTGCCACCAAAGTTGGGCCACTATTCGATAACCACCATCACCCCATCCCACCCCTACTCCCCTGCGTTCATTTTTGTTTTATTGTCAGGCTAAGTTTGGGTAACTGTTGCAGATAAGGTCACTGTTTAATTCCGAACAGTGTGTATCAGAAGCAATTCCCTGGTCACACTCAAAAGACTTCGTGAGTATTTTACATATGCCCTGGGTGTGCACTGCAGACCTATTAGTAATAATACTATTGAAACAGCATTAATTACCCAGAGCTACAGTTCAAGCCTATCCTTGGAAGGTATCCAGTCTGCACCTCAGGGAAGAGGACTGCAGTACAGCCCTGGCCAGTCAGAACACAGATTCATCTCTCAAATCACTGCCTTAGAATGAAGTCACAGCCAAGTGACAGAACAGCTGGTCTTAAGTGGCAGTTCAGCTGAGCAGGCCATGCCAAGGCCTGGCTGGCTGCTCGTCTGGCAGTAAAGGCACTGGAAGGCTGCACACCATCTTGGACCCAGAGCAGGTTGCCCGTCTGTGGAATCAGTGTGCCAGGGCCCTGGATTAGCCACCCTGGGAGATTGTTTGGTGACTGAAATATTCTCTCCTGTAGAAAAAGGAGCTCTTCTTATTTTAATTTCTTCATCAGACAACAGCTAAAGAGCGCTCACAATCTACTAGGTATCATGCTGGGTGTCTTCGAGAAGTTTACAGTGTAACAGATGACAAACCCGTAAAGCACAGTCTTGTCCTTGTTCTTAGGTGTGGTGGAGTCGATTCTCACTCATAGCGACCGTGTGTGCAACAGAACAAAACACTGCTTGGTCCTGCGCCATCCTCACAATCGGTGCTATGCTTGAGCCCATTGTTGCAGCCACTGTGTCAGTCTATCTCGTTGAGGGTCTTCTTTATCGCTGACCCTCTACTTTCCCAAGCGTGATTTCTTTTTTTTTTTTATTGGTGTGCTTTAAGTGAAAGTTCACAATTCAAGTTGGTATCTCATACAAAAATTTATACATACATCATTTTGTGACCCTAGTCGCTCTCCCGGTACTATGACAGTACACTCTCTTTCCACCTCGATTTCCCGTGTCCATTCAACCAGCTCCTGAGCCTCTCTGGCTTCGCATCTTGCCTCTGGACAGGAGCTGCCCATTTAGTCTCATGTATCTACTTGAGCTAAGAAGCACACTCTTCCCGAGTATCATTTTATGTCCCATAGTCCAGTCTAATCTTTGTGGAAGAGTTGGTCTTGGGAATGGTTTTAGTTTTGGGCTAACAGAGAGTCCAGGGGCCATGTCTTCCAGGGTCCCTTCAGTCTCAATCAAACCATTAAGTCTGGTCTTTCTACTAGAATTTGAGTTCTGCACCCCACTTTTCTCCTACTTCGTCAGGGACTCTCTGTTGTGTTCCCTGTCAGGGTGGTCATTGTGGTAGCCGGGCACCATCTAGTTCTGGTCTCAGGCTGATGAAGTCTCTGGTTTATGTGGCCCTTTCTGTCTCTTGGGCTAATACTTTCCTTGTGTCCATGGCGTTCTTCATTCTTCTTTACTCCAGGTGGTTGGGACCAATTGATGCATCTTAGATGGCCGCTCACTAGCTTTTAAGACCCCAGATGCCACTGACCAAAGTGATACAGAATATTCTCTTTTTTGCAAAAGTGGAACTTGGATCCAGTTTTTTTAATTTTTTTTATTGTTGTAGTTTAAATGAAGTTTACATTTCAAGTTAGTCTCCCATACAAAAATTTATACATACATTGTTATGTGACATTAATTGCTCTCCCTATACTGCGACAGCACACTCCTCCTTTCCACCTAATTCCCCGTGTCCATTCAAACAGCTCCTAACCCTCTGTGCCTTCCCATCTCACCTCCAGACAGAAGCTGCCCATTTAGTCTCTTGTATCTACTTGAGCTAAGAGACACACTCCTCATGAGTATCACTTTATGTCCCACAGTCCAGTCCAATCCCTGTCTGAAAACATGGCCTCAGAAATTGTTTTATTTCTGGGCTGATAGAGAATCCAGGGGGCATGCTTTCCAGGGTGCCTCCAGTCGCAGTCAGAACATTAAGTCTAGTCTTCTTACTAGAATTTGGGTTCTGCACCCCACCTTTCTCCTGCCCCATCAGGGACTCTGTTCTGTTCCTTTTCCGGGCATTGGTGGAAGCTGGGCACCATCTAGTTCTTCTGGTCTCAGGCTGATGAAGTCTCTGGTTTATGTGGCCCTTTCTGTCTGTTGGGCTAATATTTTCCTTGTGTCTTTCGTGTTCTTCATTCTCCTTTACTCCAGGTGCTTGGGACCAATTGATGCATCTTAGATGGCCGCTTGCAAGCTTTTAAGACCCCAGACGCCACTCACCAAAGTAGGATGCAGGACATTTTCTTAATAAGCTTTGTTATACCAGTTGACCTAGATGTCCCCTGAAGGCATGGTCCCCAGAACCCTACCCCTTCTACTCTGTCGCTCAAAGTGTTTGATTGTATTCAGGAAACTTCTCAGCTTTGGTTTAGTCCAGTTGTGCTGACTTCCCCTGTAGTGTGTGCTGTCCTTCCCTTCACTTAATTCTTATCTACTACCTAGTTAGTAAATACCCCTCTCCCTCCCTCCCCACCCTCATAACCATCAAAGAATGTTTTCTTCTGAGTTTAAACCTTTTCCTGAGTTCTTATAATAGTGGTATTATACAGTATTTGTCCTTCTGTGACTAAATTCACTCAGCATAGTAAGTTCCACCTTTCTCCATGTTATGTTTCACAGCTTTGTCATTCTTTATTGTTGCATAGTATTCCATTATGTGAATATACCATAATTTGTTTATCCATTCGTCTGTTGATGGGCATCTGGGTTGTTTCCATTTTTTGCTGTTGTGAACAGTGCTGCAGTGAACATGGGTGGGCATATATCTATTCGTGTGACGGCTTTTATTTGTCTAGGATATATTCCAAGGAGTAGGATACCTGGATCGTATGGTACTTCTATTTCTAGCTTTTTAAGGAAGCACCAAATCAATTTCCAAAGTGGTTGTGCCATTTTATATTCCCACTAACAGTGTATAAGCGTTGCAGTTTCTCTACAACCTCTCCAGTATTTATTATTTTGTGTTTTTTGGATTAGTACTAGCCTTGTTGGGGTGAGATTATATCTCATTGTAGTTTTGATCTGCATTTCTCTAATGGCTAATGATCATGAGCATTTCTTCGTGTGTCTGTTAGCCACCTGAATATCTTCTTTGATGAAGTACCTGTTCATATCCTTTGCCCATTTTTTGATTGGGTTATTTAGCTTTTTCTTGTTGAGTTTTTGCAGTATCTTGTAGATTTTAGAGATTAGATGCTGATCGGATTCATCGTAGCCAAAAATTTTTTCCCAGTTTGTAGGTTGTCTTTTTACTCTTTTGTTGAAGTCTTTTGATGCGCATACGTGTTCGATTTTTAGGAGCTCCTATTTGTCTAGTCTCTTGTTACTTATGGTTTGTATTGTGTTTATGCCATGTATTAGGGCTCCTAGCATTGTCCCTAGTTTTTCTTCCATGATCTTTATCGTTTTAGATTTTACATTTAAGTCTTTGATCCATTTTGAGTAAGTTTTTGTGCATGGTGTGATGTATGGGTCTTGTTTCAGTTTTTTGCAGATGGATATCCAGTTATGCCAGAACTATTTGTTAAAGAGACTGTTTTTTCCCCAATTAAAGGCTTTGGGCCTTTGTCAAATATCAGCTGCTCATAGGTGGATGGATTTGTCTGGATTCTCAATTCTGTTCCATTGGTCTATGTATCTGTTGTACCAATAGCAGGCTGTTTTGACTACCGTGGTGATATAATAGGTTCTAAAATCAGGTAGTGTAAGGCCTCCCACTTTGTTCTTCTCGAGTAATGCTTTATTTATTCGGGGCCTCTTCCCTTTCCATATGAAGTTGGTGATTT